TAGATAGTTCTAGATAGTTCTAGATAGTTCTAGATAGTTCTACATAGGTCTAGATAGTTCTAGATAGTTCTAGATAGTTCTAGATAGTTCTAGAGAGTTCTAGATAGTTCTACATAGGTCTAGATAGTTCTAGATAGTTCTAGATAGTTCTAGATAGTTCTAGAACACCCTTCAATTATCTATTTAGGTTTGCCCTTGTTATCCTGCGTCTAAAGTGTATAAATTGCCCCCAAGTAAGCCCCAAACAAGGCTGCAAAGTATAAACGTTTTTATAACCACAAATTTGCGTAGAAAATACAAAAAAACATGTAGATAAGTAGGTTTAAAAATAGTGCAAGCTTTAAAGGCCTATTTAGGGCTTGACAAAAGCAAACTAGACTAGACTAGACTTGACCAGACTAGACTAGACTAGACTTGACCAGACTAGACTAGACTAGATTAGACTAGTCTAGACTAGACTAGACTAGACTAGACTAGACTAGACTAGACTAGACTAGACTAGACTAGACTAGACTAGACTAGACTAGACTATGTAGACTAGACTATGTAGACTAAACTAGAAATAGACTAGAACTTCAACAATGACTACTTCTTGTCTTATTTAGAATAAAAAAGGTAAGTTTGGACCAGAGACTTGAGCAGATATATAAATCAAAGAAACTTTTTTGTGAAGATTTAATAGATTTTATCAAGCTCGAGATCTGGGCGTAAACTTATCTCTAAGGCAGAGGATAGCGTGTTATAAGACCGTATGTTCTTTAAATCTATAAATCCTGTTCCTTCTTGTGCTTGTTAATCTCTCCATTTAAAACTTATATCTGTCCTTAAACCATCCTTAAACCAAGTTAAAAACCCACCGTTAATCATCGTAAAAAAACAGTTTAAAACCACCTTGCCTTCATCCCTCTTCAGATAAAAACCACTTCCCTATTATTATTATTATTATTATTATTATTATAATTATTATTATTATTATTATTATTATTATTATTATTATTATTATTATTATTATTATTATTATTATTATCAACATTAAAATCCTTATTAATATTCATATTATTACTATTATCCTACGTCTGAAGGTTCTGAGACAATGATGATGTAATTGGTATTCAGGAGTTGAATTGTATAAACCTGTTTTGGTGTAAAACTAGATTATCAGATTGCCGAGAATGGCCTCTTTACAATTATATAATAGGGAACACCTTTCTATTCTTCACTTTACAAGCCACCATATACAAATATACTGTTGAATTTAAAAGTTAAAGGGAATGTAAACGTTATTTCAAACAACCTTCTATTTAAAGGTATGACTGATTAAGGATGACATATGTATATCCTTATTTATATACAGAAATGCTTGAAATTTTTTACCTTTTGGTTTTTGTTAGAACTACGGAAATGATCTGTGCTGTGCGTGTGGTTTAACAAGTTTAGTTTATTTGGTCAAATTTATTCCAGATAAAGTTGGGTTTCTAAGCTAGTTTTTAAAATCATTTTCTCTTACCTGTTTCAACTCTATCTTTCTTCAGGTTCCCCAAGGGGGTGGGGGACACTCCTCTCCTGTTCGCTACCTCAGGAACACATAACCCCCCACCCTGTCTCCCCCTGTCAGGGGAGGGGGAGTGATTTCTACTCCCCTCTCTCTGTGGGGAGCGGGTTCTACTCCCTGATCTCAGCTTACTCGTGAAGGGTCCCGGAGAAACAGGGCGGGACGAGGGCGTGGTAGGGGTGGAGAGAAGGGTGGTGGGCGTGGCGGAGTTGAAGAGAGATGAACGCGTGGATGTGGATTTAGGAAAGGACGGAGTAGGATCAGAGTTTCTCTGAGTGGAGAACTGGAACGGTTTCACGGAGATTTGAATCGGAGCAGTGCAAGAGATATCAATCTAAACAAAAACAAAAATATATGTTTTTTTGAGACTTGTTATTGCTTTTAATCTAAACAAAGCATAATTCAAAAGAAAAAGTTATTTTGAAGAGAACATTTTAATGGGAGTTCACTCGACAGTTTGAAACCCCCACGGTAAAATTGATATAATTTTACATAAAATGTAAATCACAACTGTATCCTTCTTTAACTCATATATCTGAAAACACTGAGAGTTATTTCTGTAGTTTTCTTGCCTCATATGGAAATATAATAAAAGATTCTGTAAAAATACGGCGGTTGGGAAAGGTTGATTTTATGATAGAAAATCAATCATTGTGAATCATCGATGGAACTCTTTAATTAAGTCGTTATTCAAATTATTTGTATCGTAGACAGTGAGAACCATAAAATGGTAAAATAAGAAGACGACATGCGAACAATCTTCTGTGTATTTGATGCAAATATAAAATAAAAATCTTATTAAGTTGGGTTAAATGGGTCTGTGTAGTGTTTACTGTACAACTCACACTCGCTGTGTTTTATGTTAAACGGACTATTTTAAATCATAACTTGACAGTCGTCTTCCTCGTACTCATTTTTATGGATCCGTCTGTATTTTGAAAGAATATGCTTACCTTTGATGAATACGGAGAGGTGTGTGGAGATACACAAGACCCAATCTTCCTGCTTGTTGGAGGGGTCAGCGTGCTTAACCCTATTTTCCTGGGATTCTGTGGTGTGGAGGGGAGGGAGGAGGGGAGGGAGCTGGATTCATGCAGATCTAAACTAGATCTTAGATCAGTTGCGCGTTGGTACAGGGCAGCCACACCTTGTACAACAATCCTTTCAAATATGCATGTACCGTACTGTAAAAGGGATTTTTAACAGTATCCATAGTGTAAACTTTTAAATTGAAGATTTCGTGGATATGTGGAAATTTCGAAAAAAGGTATTTAGCGACGTATGAGTGCTGACTGCATAAGTCATATCTGTAAAATCCAAAAATGTTCGCCTTCTGTGCGGCTTTTTTATACATCATTTATTTCTTAGTCGAATGATTTAAGTATCTGATACGGCTTTGTGACCACGTAGCTCATTTAGCTTTCGATTTAGTCACAAGCATATAAGAAATTTAAACATGTTTTTATTTTCAATAGCTCTCCAATCTCTCCAATAAGAAAAGCTATAAGTTTTAAACAGATGAGATTTGATCTTATTTACATTTGACAACGTGAAGAATTTCAGGTCTTCATAATAATTTTTTTCTATTTCTTGTTATTTTCTTAAATATCCGACTATTATCAGAAAAGTTGCAAGTTGAAGAACATTTATATAGTTCTTAAAAACTGTTTAGATGACGTTAGATCTTAGAAAATAGAGGTGTGGTCAAATTCACACAAAAATTTTATGTTTTACTTTTAAAACGTTATAAACCTAACATTACACACATTGTTAAACTTTCTCTACAGTGTATTGTGTACTATTCCGCAGCAGTACAGTGTACAGTTAAGTATTTTGCAGCAGTACAGTGTATAAAGTACTATTCCGCAGTAGTACAGCGTACAATGTTCTATTCCGCAGCAGAACAGTGTACATAGTACTATTTTGCGGCAGTACTGTGCACAGCCTACTATTCCGCAATAGTACAGTGTACAGTGTACTATTCCGCAGCAGTACAGTGCACAGATCTTAAATCTTAAATCTTAAATCTTAAATCTTAAATCTTAAATCTTAAATCTTAAATCTTAAATCTTAAATCTTAAATCTTAAATCTTAAATCTTATCTTAAATCTTAAATCTTAAATCTTAAATCTTAAATCTTAAATCTTATGTCTTAAATCTTAAATCTTAAATCTTAAATCTTAAATCTTAAATCTTAAATCTTAAATCTTAAATCTTAAATCTTAAATCTTAAATCTTAAATCTTATGTATTAAATCATAAATTTTAAATCTTAAATCTTAAATCTTAAATCTTAAATCTTAAATCTTAAATCTTAAATCTTATGTATTAAATCATAAATTTTAAATCTTAAATTCTTAATCTTAATCTTAAATCCTTGTTCTATCAGTCGACATTTTCACAAAATATAAAAAATATTAATCGGTAAAAATCTGTTCCTATGTTGGAGACTCATCGTGTGTATTTTAGGATCAGAACGTGTAGGCCGTATAGCATACAAATTATAATCAAATATTTACAATGCAATTAATTAAAACTGAATAAATTAATATCCACGGCGCGGCCCGGCGCAATCTATTATTTGAAAAATTTTCCTGAGCTTAGGTTGGGTTTCTCTGTCCTGGAACTGGAACTAGAATCACAAGGAACGGTCGTCTTTTCTCCGGTAGATCCGTTCCTAGGAGAGCTCGGCGGAATCGGCGGTCTATTCCTCGGCGGTGTGAGGGATCTGGATTTGTGAGGCTCAAGGCGGGGTGGGGCAAGGTTGCCCCCATTTCTTGGTTCCGTGGGTCGAGGCATTCTAATCACGCGCAGTTCTTAGTATTCATCAGAGGTTAGAGTACCAACCTTATTCTTCACACTTTACCTTTTCTTCTTNAGAAAGGAAACTATTAAAGATAAAATGAGAAAGGAAACTATTAAAGATAAAATGAGAAAGGAAACTATTAAAGATAAAATGAGAAAGGAAACTATTAAAGATAAAATGAGAAAGGAAATTATTAAAGATAAAATGAGAAAGGAAACTATTAAAGATAAAATGAGAAAGGAAACTTTTAAATAAAAATGAGACCGGAGAAAAGAGAGTAAAGTACTAAACAAATAGTGGAAAATATATATGGGAAAAAAGCTCTAAAGATAATATGAGACATGAAAAGGTGAAAGCCGAAAGGATTACAACGAGCAAAGGACGGAGATAAACAGATGATTTACATGGAACATCAAACTCACTCTGCAAGCTGGGAACTATTGTGTTGGAAACCCTTGATCTGGGTCCCTTGATCCCTTGATCCTTTGATCCCTTGATCTCTTTATTTTAGATTTCCCACATTTTCTTGCTCTGTCATTGGTTTAATTAAAACAATTCTGGCTTCTGATTGGATGTTCACGGATATCTGATTTGCACGTTACGGGATAAGGATTAAGATTAAGTTAATCTGTTTATTAAAGATCTCGATATCCACAATACAAGAGATCCCAGCTCAGTTAAAAATAAAAAGCGACGAAAAGATTAAATAAAATGAGAATAAAAGATGGCGACAAAGAATCGTGCTGATTCCTTAAAGAGAGTTTTGGTGATCCACTTGACTCAATACTTTCACACATTTCTCTACAAAATAAAACAAATATATAGTCATTCTTAACTAAAGGAATCGAGTTTTTGCCACAAACTCAGATTTTATAATCCCGATAAATTGTATTCTATTAGATGAAAGAAGTTTAAAATATATAAAAGGTTTATACAATCATGTTGCAAAGATATAGGGATTATAAAATTTGTGTTTGTGGCGAAAACTCATTTCTTTTTTTTTGTTACAGATTAGGAAATTATACAGGAAAAGTTTTTTTATGGTGTTATTGGGGATATTAAAAGTTTTACTTTCCCCAGGTTTTCTCGACCAATTTGTCCTAAAAACATCTCTAGTTACGATCTTGATCTTTCGTAGGCAACCTCGGTTTTGGGAACCCTTGATTGAATACAATTTTCATTAAATTTCTTTTTCAAAGTAACAATTAACTCATTACTTGTCACAACTCTAATTTCTTATTCTTGGATTCTGCAGGGTGCAAAGAAATTTGGATTAGATAATCACAGTTTCTATAGCAAGTATACAACTTCCTACTATAGGAAAATCAAAACTTGAAAAAAATCTCATTAAAAAAAAACTATTTTAAAAAGCCCGTAGAATTCCGTATACCTACAGGGCCCTGGGCCCTTTAATTCATTCCGTTCTAAATTAATGCAAAATCTTATTTTTTACTTTCAAACTCATAAACTCGCAAAATCTTGGCCAACCCTGAATGCACTCCTGGGTATAAACAAGATTCTTTTAATACTTTTATCAATAACTTTATGCTTTATTTCGTGCTTAAACTCATTCCGTGTAACACAGAGTAACACAGAGTTAAGCCAAGATCAACAAAGAGCTCCGAAGAAGGAAATGAGGTCAAACTCCATTTATTACTCCGTCTAATTTGTCGTGCTTCACGGGGTAAAAACCAGGGATTCAGTTTTTATCCCATCTTCCCACACACACGGAACATTTACTAAATAATTGGGATCAGAAAACTAGCTCTGAACCCAGAGGAATTTAAAAGAACAGTTCACGAGTTTAAACAGGGTCTGCTCTAAAAAAAAGAAATATTACATGTCAACTCGTTGTAGAGTAGTTTTCAAAAACCATAATTTTGAACTTTTGAACAAAAATTGCATATAGTGCCAAACGACCACCCTGTATATATATTTTTTATAAAATATTACTCCAAATGTTCTTGCCTAATTGGAGTTAATAGCTGTTGCTAATGGATACGAATTTGGGTACGGATGTTAAATTTAAATTAAAGAACGAAATAATAGAACATTTTAAAATCCGATATATGAATGATTGATCTTTAATTAATTGAAACTTGGGGGCTCCTAACCCCTTTATTTATTCATAAAATTTATATATTTTTTCGTTTGTTTTTGTTTTTAGATTTCATGGGTTCATGACTAGGCACAGTTATGGTTTTGGACTTTTTTTCAACATCAAACAAAAAAATATACAAAGCAAATGTATCCATAGATAGATGTATACACATAGATTTTTTTACAATCAGGAAATATAGTTTTATGATTCGGCGCCTTTACCCATTTTACACGGGATCAAATGCCGCAATCTCGGTTTAAACTCTAAATCCAAACCAAATATATTCATTGTTCAAGAATTGAAAGGAGAACACAAAAGAAACAATTAATACACGGAAAATGTTTTACGAAACAATTATAATTAGGATTCAGACAAGGCCTTAACGTGCTACCTTAGCAAAATTGAGGGGCAGTGTTATTTTGCAATAATTAGGCGTCGGCTTGTCTATCTATCTATCTATCTATCTATCTAATATCTGAGGCATGGTTATGTAGGGGGGGGGGGAGGAGGGAGGGAGTTAAAAATGGACTGGGAACTAATGTGAAGAAGGATTAAAACAATGCGGGGGTGGTAAATAAAGAATGACGACGCATGTAGGATGCATGATAATGTAACCATTACTACCCGAGGGGGGGGGGGGGTATAATTTTTCCAATGTACCCCCTCCTCATTCTTCCCTTAGCCCCCTGAAATCCTTATGGAAGAAAGGGGTTAAGGGGTTAAGGACAAAATGCACCGAAAAGGTATCAATAGATGCATAAAAATTGAATAAAGCAGAGAGTTCAAAGATAGTGTTTTTCATCTTACATCTAAACACTAGAGGTAAAAACAGTTTAAAAAAGATGAAAGAATTAACCCCAAGGTATGATCAGATATAAAACAGAGATAGGGCTCGGTAACTTCGTTTTTCTTGACATTTTCATTTCGATTTTGTCAAATTTTTTTTTGTATTTTCTTTTTAAAATTACTCATATCCTGTGCTTTTTCGTAGTATTCCAAATTTGTATTTTAGACAACTTTTTGCTTAATAAAAGTGAGAAAAAACTCGTCTTTTGTTTCTTAGTTTGTTTCTGTTTGGAACCAAGATATTTAAAACTATTCTTGTGAAATGTTCATATTTATTTTGGTTTTAACAGTTTCTGCTTGTTCAGAAAAAAAGTATAGTTCGTATATTCAAACAATGGAAAAAAAACAATAACTATTTATAACACTGTTATTTTGGTTCGCTAAGGTTCTCGCCTTTTTAGATTTAGTAATTTTATGAAACGTTTGTGTACTTGTCTTATTTCACATGGCTATGTCTAGACCAAAAAAGGTTTGAAACAAAGCAGAAGTCAAAATTAAAAGTTGATTTAAATTTTATTTTCATTTCAATTGAAAAAAAAAAAATATTTTGGAAATATCCTAAATTTTTTGGAGAAAATCCGGGAAACAATCAAAACTATATAGCACACGTGCTTTAATGTACAGCTAATTTAACTGTATAGCACGACGATTACTTTATAGCACGTTTATTATGAAATTAACGATGAAGTGAGGAAGACTGATAAAGTACACAATAGTTTCATAAAAATATTTCCCAATAGCGATTCTGTTATAGCAAAGTTTTCAAACGTTAGAATTTATTTGTACGCTTTATTTCTTTTTGCCTCTTTTTGTTAATATCAAAATAGGTTGATTAGCAGTAACAAATAGTACAAAGGAATTGAGTTTTTGCAAAAAACTCTGATTTTCTAATTTCAATATCGTTGCAGCCCTATGTCGTAGACCTTTAATATTTTAAACTATGAATGATATTAGATCAAATAATGTAAGTTTGAAATATCAAAGGTTTACATCATAAGGCTGCAAAGATATTGGTTTTACAAAAACTAAATTTGTGGCAAAGACTCAATTTGTTTCTTCCATATAATATGTACAAAGCCTGTGCACTAATTTTCCTAATTAAAATTGTTAAAACAAAAAAAAGCTAATTAAGACCTCAATTAGCTGTTATCATACACATATAATTTCATTTATTCTTTTATCTACATTTTTAGGCGTAGTGTGTTCAAAAGTATCACGTCAAATCCTGCATACTTTTACATAAATAGAATATCCATAATATACAACCTTTTTTGGAATGTTTACATTCTTACATTTTTATAATTTTTCATGTTTTATTCTAAATCTTGATTTGAATCTTACCAAAGTCAAACTATTTATAGTATTTCAGGGTGAAGTCGTTTTGCATGATGAAACATTTAAGTTAAAAATAAAACTGCAAATATCTCGTTGAGACAAGATTGGTTTTACTGCAAAGGATAAAACTGTAAAGACGACTTCAGACTATTAAGATATAACATTTCTAGGTAAAAATAAGTCTTCTGTTTTGATTTTTTTTTAATGACTTATCAAATAGATGCCGAAGAAAAAAAACAAGTTTACGGTTGCATGGAATCGTGAATATAAGGAAACTGACAAAAACAAATTCCGTACAGTCGTCTCTGAAGTCTCATCTGTTGTTGGTAGGCCTGTATGTGGAACTTGTTATACATAGACATGGTACAATGTACACTGCACAGTGCACAGTACAGGTTGCGTGCACTGTACAGTATATGCAGTGTACAGCGCAGAGGGTACACTATTTAATGCAATGTGCAATCTTTTCCCGGTTTGTCATTTGTGCAGTGCAATTTGTATAATTGTAAAGTAAAAAGTATAGTTCAATTTTTGCTTTGTGCACTACACAATACCATGAGCTGTGCAGTATGCGCATTTTGCAATTTTAACGTGCACTGACATGTGCATTGTGCATATTGCAGTGCAACAAGTAAATGTGCAGTTTGAGGCGTGCAGGCTTTGAAGTTAGCATAATCATTATGATTATTGAATTATACTGTTTAACGATGCTTTAATAGTACTATACAAAACAATACATACACTATAAAAACATGGAACAGGGAATATGCCTGAAATTAAGAAGGTAACTATCCCTTTGATTTTATTCCATATGTATATAATGTCCCCCCCCACACACACACACTAATAGCGCGGGGCAAGCGTGTAAATTTAACCTTATTAACAATAGTTTATGGGGTGTTAAATAACTATCTATCTATCCTATCTATCTAATATTAATTTCTGCTCTGAAAACGCAATCTAGAAAGATGAACATCAAATTAATTCGACGGCACGGAGTAAACACTGAGAGGTAAAAACAGTTTAAAAAAGATGAAAGAATTAACCCCAAGGTATGATCAGATATAAAACAGAGATAGGGCTCGGTAACTTCGTATGAGGAAAATGCCAAGTAATGAATAAGAAAGGACAAGTTGTGAACCGTGGAAAGGACAGTAAGAGGTCAGGAAAAGAACAGCAGTAACAGGAAAGGGACAAGTAGTGAACAGGAAAGGAAACAAGTAAAGAACAGGAAAGGAACAAGTAAAGAACAGGTAAGGAACAAGTAAAGGACAGGTAAGGAACAAGTAAAGAACAGGAAAGGAACAAGTAAAGAACAGGAAAGGGACAAGTAATGAACAGGAAAGGGACAAGTAAAGAACAGGAAAGGAACAAGTAAAGAACAGGTAAGGAACAAATAAAGAACAGGAAAGGAACAAGTAAAGAACTGGAAAGGGACAAGTAGTGAACAGGAAAGGAACAAGTAAAGAACAGGTAAGGAACAAGTAAAGAACAGGAAATGAACAAGTAAAGAACAGGAAAGGGACAAGTAAAGAACAGGAAAGGAAAAAGTAAAGAACAGGTAAGGAACAAGTAAAGAACAGGAAAGGAACAAGTAAAGAACAGGAAAGGGACAAGTAGTGAACAGGGAAGGAATAAGTAAAGAACAGGTAAGGAACAAGTAAAGAACAGGAAAGGAACAAGTAAAGAACAGGAAAGGGACAAGTAAAGAACAGGAAAGGAACACGTAGTAAACAGGAAACGGACACGTACATGGTAAAGAAGAAAACAGATATACGAAGGGTAGGAATTATAAAAATATCAGACATGAAGAAAACAGGACAGGAAACAGTAAAGTATAAGAACAAAGACAAGGAAAAGGGTATAGAATACAAAACAGAAAAAGGAAATACACAAATAGATAAAAAAAAACTTGTTAGAACTTTAAAATAATTAAGATTTGTTAATTACCTGACAGATTTGGAACGTTCCGAGTTGGCTGGCCTTGGGATTGTTATTTTTAGGAACGGAGCATCCGGATGTTGGAACACTGTGACGGAACTCTTTTCCTGGTTACTGGTTCCTGAGCTGCGACTTGTTCTACCAGGCCTATCTCCGGGTTCTAGGATCCTAGGTGGCTCCGGGGTTAGGTTGGACGCATTCCTCTCCGTGTTTCCCGAGTTCATTGGTTTGGATATTATGATGGATTTCTTGGATTTGTTGGACTGGACGGAGAGGTTTGACTTGTTCTCCGGGTGGAGGGACTGGTTGGATGGGTTGATCTGGGTGTCGGGTGAATTTGAGGAGTTAAGATCGTGCTCATCATGCTCCAAGATATCCAGGTCTGTAGGGTACTCAGCGTTATACCTGGAGAAAATTTAACCTTTTATAGAACGATTGCCTCTTATTTTCATGATCTTTGATACTATAATATTATCATTCATTTTTATTAATATTATTATCATTATTTGTTACAATTATTGAAAGAAATTTGATTTTTCAAAATTCAGGTATTTTAAATTTATTTTTACTCTTATATTCACTCTTCTATAAGAGACTGTAGAGTGTAGACGTATTTCTACTGATCTCTATTGCTTGTAAAAATGGTTAAAATATTTTTTAACAAACCTGGTCGGCTTTCGTGTTTTCCTCACAATATGTGCAGAGAACTTATTTCTCCCCTCTCTCTGCAAAAAAAAATTATTTAATGAAAAAATTCCCAATAACCTTTATGTATTATACAAAATAGGGTAATATATTGAAGAAAATAAATATAATTATAAAAAATACTTTCTATATTTTGACCGAGAAAAAATCAAGATTCATAATTGAAAATTCAGAATAAAATTTTGACTACTAAACTTTTAAACAATCAATATTTTAATCTAATGAGAAAAAACATATACAATTTGAATGAAATGACTTGAATCAATGGGATATTTATATTTTTTTTCCAAAAGGGGAGAGGGCTCTGCAGTTTGCACCCGTTTGGACCTCAAAAAAACCTGGAAACCATTGATTTTACTGGTCCAAGAGGGCCGGGGGGGGGGGGTTGCTTTATAGCCCTACCAGTAAATTTAAGGAAGTATTTGTGGTTAAATTATATTATCATTAGTCACATTAGTCTAGTTAGAAATAACACACAGTGGGGCCCATAAATCTGTGCAATAGGAAAACAACTTTTAGACTCAAGTGGTGATTTTGTCCAATGAACAATGAACATGATGAAACAGAATAATTGTGTATGGAATAATACTATATTGTCTAGAATTTAAAATAAAACTTATTTCCTTTTTTGAATCTCTGTATTTGTACCTGTAATTGGCTTGCTGCAAGCTGTACAACGTTCATTTCAATTTATAATTTGATTTTTAAGCAACTGCCAAAACTATTTTCATAAAATACACATATTTATATTTACATATCAGATTTTATGGGTCCCGCTGTATTTTCTTGTTACCTCTCCTCCTAATTTTCGACTTTTTTTGATGTTTTTCACTGTTTTCCGACTTTATGAAAAGTTGAATAGTTGTAAAGAATGTAATCCTGGATTTTATTATTACATTGCAAATAGAAAGCATCAAAATAAAGAGCAAATTCATTTTAAAATTTTGAATATTTTACCGAAAATAAAATAAAGAAAACCACATTTTTCGATGTACTCAACAGACCTCCTTATTAATTAATTAATAGAGTGGTCGGTTGTGTACATCATGATATGTTTACGTATCTTACACTGTACACTTGTATATAGAGTGATCGTATTTCTTGGAGGGATTTTATGAAATTGACAAATTTTTAGATTTTCTTTCTTTATTCAAAGAGAATTCGAGGATGTTGACTGCAAACATTTGACAATTTTCCAATTTGTAAGCTTTCAATTTATTAGCTAAAAGATCTGTCAAAAATATTAAGTTTCTATGGGCATGCCTTTAGCTTAAAACTTGAATAACATTCCTATTTCAAACAATTTTATTCTTTCTTCTCTTCGACTCATCTTAAGGGGGGGTGCTTCCCCCCCCATTGCCACCCCTAGTTGCGTGCATGTTATTCTGTGAACAAATAAAATCAAACTTTACTGAAGTACTGAAAAAAAAACACAAACTGGATGCATAGTTAACGACTGATAATCAAATGAACTGAAGAAAACGATGCGCACGCATCTTTAATTGCGACTTCTTTTTTATTACTCTATGGAATATATATCCATGATTCTGTTTATTCAAACTCTTTATTTTTATTTTATGTTTATTTACAAAAGTGACAAATCCCAATAGAGTAAACACTTTTAGAGTCAGAAAATCGACGTCATCTTCGACATTTTTGAACAGATGAAGGTTTCAAGGGTACCGTTGTAAATTGGTTTTTGCTATTTTTGCATGGAGGGTTATATCAAATTACGCTTACAGTCCCTTTAACTTAAACATCAAAGTTTATTATTTTGGACTTCCTAGAGCCAAATAAATTTAACTTTTTAGCTATTTTTAAATTCTATTGGTGTGTAAAGAGGCTAATATGATATACAAATAAAATGTTAAATTAGGCCCTCCAGCTTTATATAATTCAACAAAACATTCCAGAAATGCGGGAAGGTTTCGTAAAAAAACATTAAATGTTTAATTATTCTCCTTTAAAACATTTTTTGATAATTTTCCTAGAATCCAGTTTAGTATAAATCCTTAAAAATATCCAAGTTTAAAGGGATTCTTCAGATTTTAGAACAGAACAGTTAGGTACAGTTTAGGAACAGTTAGGTGCACATTTTTTGACGTAAAACTAGAATTAGCTCTTTTCATTCCTATAGTTTCTTACGTCATGGGAAATAACTTGGTTAGATTTTTAAAAACTTCAAAAATTTTGGACTATTAAAAGTTTCCACAAAAATCTGAAAAGTTTTAAAAATTGAAATATTAGGGAAAACTGACCAAAAACGACAATTGTTTTAGTCCTTGTTCCTTCATATTTTCTCTTAGTATAAAAATATTGCAAAGTTTTCTAAAGGCAAACTTTTACAGAATACAGTTTTGAAATGTTGGAACCTTCACAAGTTCAAAGTACTTTTTTATTTTTAAAAAGTATTTTTAAAAGTCCAAAAAAGTGATTTCCCTTCCTTAAGCACAATTGTTTAAACTAAAATCTTAATTTTACGATCTACAAAACCATTGACAATTAAAAAAAACAATAAATTTTCGTCATACATTTACTAAAATTACCTTTTTTCCTTCAGATTTGACAGCCCCGTCCATGATATCTATCTATCCAACTCTTAGTTCTGATAAAAATCACTTGGTTCACTTAAACAATCACTTTTTCCCTTGACTGGGAGTATTCACAGGAGAACGCTTTATACTCGACCCACCTAGTGGCAATATTAGAGTTATGATTTATTTGCAATTTATCCAGGAGGGATAGTAGGAGGAGGGGGGGGACAGATGTATTGAAGGGGGGAGGGGGGGTACCTGGATTGGGATTTAAAGATTCTTATCTAGACTCAGTCTGGCATTTATTTATTCATGAGTGTTAGAAACATGTGTGTCACAAGTCCCTGCTGTTAATCTACTGAAGGTGATGGAATTTTAAATTCCAAGTTAAACTTTTAACTAAAATCTTGAAATTTTAACATAAAACTCAAAACTTTAATTTGAGACTCAAATCTTAAAATTAATCTTCATAACTTTACATATCAAATATTTTAGGATTGTTTAGAGAAAATAATTTTTTTTTCATGGACCCTGTGGCAAACATGGATAATAATGCGAGAATGGGATAATGGCGATCTTAAAGATAAAATTAGTAATAATTTGGAGAGTTAAAATTAGTTCTAGAGATAATGAATACTGAAATTGATGATCATTGACCATTAGGAAGGGATAGGAAAAATAACTGTGGGATAGGAAAAGGAACGGAGGGATAGGAAAAAGAACGGTGGGATAGGAAAAGAAATGGGGGGATAGGAAAAGGAACTGTGGGATAGGAAAAGGCACGGTGGGATAGGAAAAGGAACTAAGGGATAGGAAAAAGAATGAAGGGATAGGAAAAAGAACGGTGGGATAGGAAAAGGAACTAAGGGGTAGGAAAAGGAACTATGAGGGGGATCCTTAAATATTTCTGATAATGTCACGAAGGCAGGAGATTGTAGATCCATGTCTTGGTTTCAACTTTCAATATCAGTTCAAACCCAGACAGAGGAATCTTTCAAATACTATACAATACAATGACAGTTTTAAAGAAGATATCTCAGAAAGAATTCTGTTTTTAGAAAAATTTCTACCATACAGGAACGTAAGGCTCACAAGTTAGTCGCCAAAAGGTCAAAATTGGCAAAACTTAAAGATAAAAGATTGCTCAGCAAGGAAGAATGTTTTGAAAGTTTGATTAGGAAATTTGGTTAGAATAAAAATTTGAACAAAAAATATTTCCTCTTCTGACACTATACCATATTTTGACCTCGAAAGAAAATATTGACCAAAAAAAGTACATGCAACAAACCAACTGAAGGCGCAGTAACAATTTAGCACAAAAATTTCAGATGGCGATATTGTATGGGGTATAAAGACGATATAATAAAGATGGAGTTTACAACATAGAGATGGCTGACAGAATGCAGGACTATATTTTAATGGTTAAAAGAGACAGTTAAGGAAAATTGAAAGGGAGTATAGGCTGAAACCTGAACACTTTAGGAGCTGATTGCGAACCATATGAGTTCTATCTGATGTTCCTGTTTCGAGAAATTAATTCAGACAGAGACACGTGGCAATGCTACTGCACTACCATTGGGTAAATTCTGGTCACGTGATACAGATGTATTAATTATATTATCAATTATGTCTATTTTAAAAATGAATAAGTAATATATTAAAATTATAATAGGAGCATATCTAAGCTGTTTAGACTTCTCTGGGTAATCGAAATTTTTAGATTAGTTGCGTATTTGCTGATCTGTTTAAAACTATGATTCCTATACCACATCTCATTTATATAAGTTTTGGTATAACGTCGACACAGTTTTGTATCAATTTTTCGAGACAGGAACATCCGATAGAGCTCATATAGGTCGCGATTAACGCCTAAGTGTTTAGGTTTCAGCCTATACCCTCTTTCATTTTTCCATAACAGTCCCTTTTAGAAAGATTTAAGGCTGAATATATAAGAGAGGGTTTAACCTAGATTTAATGGTGTGTGGAAAGGATTGCTAGAACGTGAGGATTTATGAAGTTTTCTGTTACATATGTATGCAATGCAAACAGTTTAAAATAGTGCTCATACACTGATTTATTAGCTTGATAACCACATATGCATTCTGTCCCTTCATGTGGACTTATGCAAGGTTAGGAAGGATGTAGGATGGTTTTGTTTTAGGATAGGATGTAGGATGGTTATGGTTTAGGATAGGATGAAGGATGGTTATGTTTTAGGATAGGATGTTAATTAGGAAAGATGGTAAGAATAGATGGTTGGGGTGGATAGGAACGATGTTTAGGAAGGTTTATAGAAAGTTTGGTTAGGAAGGACGTTTAGGAAGGTTGGTTAAAGTTGGTTAGGAAGGTTGTTTAGGAAGTTTGGTTAAGAAAGTTGTTCAGGAAAAATTGTTAGTAAGAACAGTTAGGAAGGTATCTTAGGAAGAATGGTTAGGAATGCTGTTTATTATTTCAGACTATTTAGGAAGAATCATTATGAAGGCTAGATAGGAAGGTTTTTTAGGAGGAAGGTTGGTTAGGAAGGCCGGGAGACAAAGGAGAAGGAGAAGAGAAGGGAAAGGATGAAGGAGAATGGTAGGGGTGGGATAAAAGAGAATGGAAGGGACGGGATGAAGTAGAATGGAAGGGAAGAGATGAAAGAGAATGGAAGGGGCGGGATGAAGGAGAATGGTAGGTGCGGGATAAAAGAGAATGGAAGGGACGGGATGAAGTAGAATGGTAGGGGCGGGATAAAAGAGAATGGAAGGGACGGTATGAAGTAGAATGGTAGGGAAGAGATGAAAGAGAATGGAAGGGCGGGATGAAGGAGAATGGAAGGGGCGGGATGAAAGAGAATGGAAGGGACGGGATGAAGTAGAATGGAAGGGAAGAGATGAAAGAGAATGGAAGGGGCGGGATGAAGGAGAATGGAAGGGGCGGGATGAAAGAGAATGGAAGGGGCGGGATGAAGGAGAATGGAAGGGGCGGGATAAAAGAGAATGGAAGGGGCGGGATGAAGTAGAATGGAAGGGAAGGGATGAAAGAGAATGGAAGGGGCGGGATGAAAGAGAATGGAAGGGACGGGATGAAAGAGAATGGAAGGGGCGGGATAAAAGAGAATGGAAGGGGCGGGATGAAGGAGAAAGGAAGGAACGGGATGAAGGAGAATAGAAGGGGAGGGATGAAGGAGAATAGAAGGGGCGGGATAAAGGAAGGTAATCAAATCCTTATTTGTGAATAATGATACTGATCTTCATTGACATTATCTTCAAGATAATTGAATATGATCTAGTTCAGACACACACTCTGTTCCACAGACACAGACACAGTCCTAAAGACACACACCCCGTTCTACAGACACACATACCGTTCTACAGCCATAAATACCGTTCCACAGCCACACACACCGTTCTACAGAAACACACACCATTCTACAAACGAAAACACCGTTCTCATTCTCAGTGGTACATATCTACATAATAATCGTTTTATCTTCTGTTTTTCATTTTAATTCTTCAGTTTTATTTGCTTTAAGTGCTTTTTTCAATATTATTATTCACGTCAAATTTTTTTTTATTGATATTATTATGATAAGTACTATTTGTTTTAATATTTTTACTACCATATGAGTTCTATCTGATGTTCCTGTTTCGAGAAATTGATAT